TCCCAGTGACTGTTTTGTAACTGCCAATTTGAACTTCTTAACAATTCCTTCACCTTTTCCACTTAGGCCCCCAGTCCCTCTCCCCTCTGGCAACCATCAATTGTTCTCTGTATCTATGAGCTTGTTTCTGTTTTTATTGTTTATTTGTTTTTTAGATTCCACATATAGGTGGAACCATATGGTATTTGTCTTTCTCTGTCTGACTTATTTCACTTAGTGTAACACCCTCTAGGTCCATCTGCATTGTTGCAAATAGTAAGATTTCATTTCTTTTTATGGCTGAGTAGTATTTCACAATTAGGTTGTTTCCATATCTTGGCTATTGTATATGAAATGTTTTTCTTTGTCTCTTGTTATAGCCATTGTTTTAAGGTATCTTTTGCCTGTTACAAGTATTGCTACCCCAGCTTTATTTTGATCATTTCCTTTTGTATGAAGTATCTTTTTTCATTTCTTTACTTCCAGACTGTGTATGTCTTTTGATCTGAAGTGAGTCTCTTGTAGGCGACATATATAAAAGTATTGTTTTCTTCTCCATTTACTCTCCTTATGGATTTTGATTGGAGCATTTAATATGTTTACACTTAAAGTAATTATTGATAGGCATGTAGTTATTGCCATGTTATTATTCTTAAAGAAGTCTCTTTAACGTTTCCTGTAACACTGATGTTGTAGTAACAAATTTCTTTAGCTCTTTCATGTCTTGGATGAGTTATCTTAATGTAATAGTTTATATTCCTAGAATATTGAGGCTTGAGCCCAGAGATGCTTCTTAGCATTTGATGGGACAGTCACCTGTAATTTAGGATGTTTGTTCAAGCTAGGTTCGAGGCCTCTGAGTTCAAAGGATTGGGTATGAAATCTTGGGCAAACCCAAATCTTGGGTTTTCTCATGAAAACTTTGGCACTGCTAATCATTACCAGAAATATCCGGTAGTGAATTAGTACCTATACATTTCTAATTTTATTTCCTCATATGTATAGTGCCACCTAAAAGGGTATTGTTTGAAAGAGATCAAATTTGATGAAAATGGAAGGTAAAATAAACCCCCAAAAATGAAAGGAAATTCACAAATGTTTCTTTTCTAAATGTGTTTGGAAATGTGAGAAAGGCTGAGAGAAAGCAATTCGCATTTCCTCAAAGTCAGGCTCAAAGCTCCTATACAGAGGTCCTCAGGTGTACCCAGGAAGCTATATGTGCTCAAGGCTTGACAGTTTTAGGACACTTTCTAGTTCTGCTCTCAGTTTTGCCTCGTTTGAATCAAACTTCCTTTTTAGTATAGGCTAGGACCTGAATAGTCTGCTGAAATAGCACCCCTGCCTGCCTTCTCTAATTAGAGGATTTGGAGTTGAATGCAAAAGTGACCTGGGAAAAATCAATTTCCTTGACTATGAGGTTTAAACTGGATCCACTATCTTAGAAATTCATGTCTTAACAATAAACACTCTCCAGGAGTGAATTCTGCTGTAACTGAACTAAATTGTACAATTTAAGGGGAAGGAAGGGGAAGTAGAAGTAAGTATGTTATACAGAACACCGTATCCTGGCTGTGCTTTTTAATGAGGTTAAGCAATATTAGTATCAGCAAAACTGAGTAGATCCCTCCCTGGAAATTGAAAGAAATATAATCTTGAAGTTTATCAGCACTTGTCTTTTTAGCTCCTTTTATCCTTACAGTTCAGTAGTGCCACACTTGACAAGATACCACTGACGAGGGGCTCTTTCAGGTTTATATATTGATATGTACATTTGGGAAACTAAAAACTATGCTAACAGAGATAAACTATTTAGTTATTTTAGTTACTAGTTTTCCATGGTCGGTATCTCAAAGTACTCCAAACATAATGGCTTGAAGCAACACAAATTTATTGTCTTGAGATCTGGCGGTCTGAAATGGGTGTAACTGGGCTAACATCAGGGTGTTGGCAGTGCTGTGTTCTCTTTGAAAGCTCTGGTGGGAAATGTGTTTCCTGGCCTTTTCAGGCTTCTAGAGTCGGCCCACATTTCTTGGCTCATGGCCCCTTTTCTCCATCTTGAAAGCCAATGATGGCCTGTCACTTCTCATCCTTACTCCCTTGGCTCTCTCTGTCACTTAGAAGCACCTTTATGGTTACACTGGGCCCACCACAATAATACCAGATCGTTTCTCCAATGTCAAGGTCAGCTGATGAACAACTTTAATTCTATCTGCAATCTTAATTCACCCTAGTCAAGTAACATACATATTCTTAGGCTCCAGGAATTAGGACTTGGGCATCTTTAGGGGGCATTATTCTACCTACCTCGTTATCTGACCTAAATTTTAATACGATTATGTTGGGTGATACCTTGACAGTGCACTGAATGGGGGGCAAGTGGAGAAGCAGGAAGATGAGTTAGGAAGCCAAATCAAATAAAATGGTGGCTTAGACAAAGGTGGTAGTGGCCGTGGAGGTGGGGAGAAGTAACAGGGTCCTGCCTGTGTTTTGAAGATGACTTGCTGTCCTCTTAGGTGAGAGAGAGAAGAGTCACATACATTCTCCAAAACTTTTGGCCAAGGCAGTAGGAAAAAATAAGCTGCTATTAATTAGCATGGAAAAAAACTTCTGAGAAAGTAGGTTTAGGGCTTCAGCGTTCTGTTTACGGAAGACTAAGAATGCCTTCTAAAATAAAGAGGAGCACTGTCTTGTTAAAATCAACTTTTTGAACAACTTTTGGTATAACTGAGTTGTCAAGAAGTTGGATTTACTGGGTAAGGATTAGAAGGGTGATAAAGCAAAGAGAACTTTTTTTTTGCCTTTGCAATGACTTCCGTGATTCCAGGGATTTAGAACCTGTTGGACCAGAGAGATCGTTAACATCTCATGTATCCCTGAAACTGCTTCACAGGACTCTCTTTTGCCAGATCATCCTGCATGGCTTGTGTCAACACTTATTGCACAAAACTGAAGAAATGGGTATTTCTAAATATACCACAGTAATGCATGGTGTGAATAATAGAGGAAATTGTGATAGGGAAGGTATATGGAACTCTCTCAACTGTCTTCTTAGTTCTGTAAATCTAAAACTGTGCTAACATATAAAGTTGATTGATAGAAAGAAACAAAGTAGGGAAGGAGGAAGGAAGGGAGGGAAGGAGGGAGAAAGGAAGGGAACGAGGAAGGAAGGAAGAAACGGGAGTTTTTTTTTCAGTATTGACTCTCTTGCAAATATCCTCTTTCTGTGGGGACTCCAGATACTTCCATCCAAAATTAGCTCTGAGTGGCAGTTCCCAGTAATACTGGGTTTCTACTTCTTGTTTCTTGTATTTGAAGATTCCTTTCAAAGAACTCCTGACAGTCAATTATTTAGTTATTCCAATGTTTTTTTTTCAGCCAAAGAAACTTGTGGAACTTGAAAAAACAATAGTTAATGTGTATTATGAGAAGTTATTATATTTCAGGTGTTATGTTAAGCACTTTTCCTGTTATCTGATTTAATTCTTAGAAAAAAAAAACAATGCATTTGTTAGGGGCTATTTTGGCTGCATTTTGCAGGTGGAATGATTGATGCCAAAAAAGGGTAAGTACAGACAGATAGGAAATAATGGTACTGGACTTGAGCCCAGGTCATTTGACTATAGGAACTGCTTCTTACTGCTGTACCATATTTTAGCCCCAAATTGATCCATGCCATCTATTTATGCTTCAAATTATCGTGTGTGATTAGTGTTAACTTGCCCCCATACCATAGCTAGCTTTCTGCTCCTCTCTGTGTACTTCTCAAGAAAGCTGAATCTAGCAGAATCCAGCTTTCCAAGAGGGAAAGGAACTTCTGACCGAAAGTGCCCTCCATGATCCTGCTGCTAGTTGGTGCCAAGGCTCCTGACACCTGGTAATGGTCAAGAATTGAGCACTGCCACAGCCCCTGCAGCATAGCACATCATCAGGGAATTTCGTTCTTCACTTCGGTTTCTGTTGAACACCTGACCACAGTAGTCCTGCTACTCTTTTAAAAGACCTTCTCTCCTGAGAATGGTGCAGCCACCACCCATCACCAGGGAACTGGGTGCTCACCCTGAGATAACTGAGTAACTGCTCCGCCAGCCTTGATTTTACAGTATTTAAGAGCAGGCTTCCTTGTGTATGACTTGACTGTGAGCCTCCTGGAGACATGGATTGTGTCTGTTCTGTTCACTGTGATATTCCTCATGCCAAGCAAAGTGTTAGGTACCAAATAAGTTCATGTTGAGTGATTAGTTTATGTACTACCATGTGCGCACACCTTGGAGGGAAACTCAGGTGTCTTTGCTCTAGTAATGCTCATGGGCTGTTGTCAGTGCCACCGAACACAGAGGAGGAAGGACTATGCACCTAAACTGTCTTAGGCTCCTTGGCCCACTTAGAAATGACCTTCTGCACCCACTCCATGGGAAAGGTCTAGGTTCAATGCTGCGTCCCATAAAACCCAGTCCTTGTCCTGCCCAGTGGCATGTACTTAGGGGGTTTGAAGGCTGTTGACTAATGGCAATCACACTTAAGAAGTGGTGAACAGATACTTCACATGTAGGAAATTGTAAGGACTAATGTGGAATGAAAAACATTTTCTTCGAAAAAGTTAGTGGAGCCATCAAATCTCCATTGGCCATCACTTCACATTTCTCCGCGGTCTTGAGTGCACTCAGGGGACTGGAACTCCTCTGTGTCTTTGTGCAGGTTTTTATAATGTGCTCTGAGATTGCATCCTTCTCCAGGTCTCTCTTGTGCTACATGCAGGTGAAGTGTTTATACAGTATTTCAGCGATATGTTACCTTTGAGTCCCCTCCCCTGCACACATACATACTGACCTGTTCTGTGGGGTTAGATTATTACTGGCCAGGTGAGAAAGTGATACAAAAACAATTTAAAAAATAATCTCTGTGTTGTGTGACACCTCCTTTAATTTATTGATGAAGCTGTTACTGGTAGCAAATAAAAAATTCTTTGTTCAGTTCAAACACAGGCATATATACAGTCCCTGTTTTCTTTTTTTTTTTTCCAGGCAAGAAAACTGATCAGCGATTTTGCCATTATCTTGTCCATTCTCATCTTTTGTGTAATAGATGCCCTGGTGGGTGTGGATACTCCAAAACTGATTGTGCCAAGTGAGTTCAAGGTAGGTGAGCTTCTATCTCTTGGTCATTCCTGGAACTCTTTGGCTTTCTTTCCTTTCCCCTGTTCTTTTTGTCACGCCTCTCCTTCGTAAGTTTTGTACAGTTATTCAGTTCTTCCTATAACTCAATAATGTTCTCTTGCTAGGTACATATATTTACATTTTGTCTGTTTCTTTATTAAAATCAAGTGCCCGAATAGTATCACATGCAAAGTTCACATTTTATTGTTTTTATAGAACAATGCTTTATAAGCCAAATGGTGAAAGACAAATACCATTTGATCTTACCTATAAGTGGAACCAAATCAACAAAACAAACAAGCGAGTGAAATATAACCAGAGACATTGAAATAAAGAACAATCTGACAGTAACTAGAGGGAAGGGGGAAAGAGGGGTAATGGGGTAGGGGAGGTCATCAAGGATCATGTATGAAGGACACATAGATAAAGCCAAAGGGGGTGGGTTCCAGGGTGGGAGACAGGGATGGGTGGGGCAGGGGGCTGAGGTGGGGTGAAAATGGAGACAGCTGTACTTGAACAACAATGAAAAAAGAAAAATGCCTTATAATAACATTACAAACTCTGCTTTATACTTTTATATCCAAAGTGTTTTCATACAACTTATCACTTTGATCCTTAGAATAATTCTGGGGTGTAATGTAATTATCATCATCCTGATTTTATGAAGTTGGTGTTTAAGTTATAATAGTTAAGCAAAATGCCCATGATTATATTACTAATTCAATGCTCTTTTTTTGCTACCAAACTACCTGCCATGTATACACACATTTATGTGTAATGTGCATTTTAATTATCACAAACAATATATAAAATTTATTCATTCTATAAATCTGTTGGTATGTTCAGGCCTACTGGGTAAAATTTACATTTTAGTCATTCTTAAATATCCAAACCTAATTTTCCATTACAAGTTTTTCACCTGTATTCTAGAATACTCCTAACCTCTCTCTCCATCATGGAGACCATATACTTCCCAGACAAACTAAATTGACTATAGTTTTAGCTTAATAACTACTCAGTGAGGAAGGGATATCTAGAGAAAGCAGGATATTTTTGCATTATCTCTGCCATCATATGTTAATTAGCAACGATAGGTTCTCATGCATTTGATCGTTAGTTCATTTAAGCCATTATTTCTCAGACGTTTGCTTTGAGTCAGGCCCTGTACTGGATATTTGTAAGCACTGATTAGGGAGACTGGCTGCCTTTCCTTACAAACTCACAACCTGGCACAGATAGTAAAATGTGGGTAGGTTCAGTGATGGAGTTATGGGTAAAGTGAGATGAGAAACAAATACCTTCAGAGGACAACTGAGACTCTTTTCATACTAAATGTGGGAAAAATAATTCCTAAATAGGATTCCATGTTGGTTTACTTGCATTGCTTAAAGTTAGAAAAAAGGGTAGGAAATTTTTGTTGTTGTTGTTATAGAGATGTATGATCTGCTAAGAGAAGATAGATTGGGAACTAGAATAACCGTATTTTTCATTTCAGAAAAATAGAACAACCATATTTTTCTGTGATATTTCTGAGGATTGCAGCAGTTATTTGGGCTTATTTTTCATACATAAAATAAGAAACATCAGAGTGTTCAAAATATTTGAGTAGAGCATGTAAAATATTTGTAGCGTTTTATATATTGTATTTTGAAACTGTTCCAATTTGGCAGTATTAGGAACAACTTCAGTATAATCGCTATAGTCCATGAACGAGGTTCGCAGTAGCTTTGTGATTCCTCGCCAATCTCTCTACTGAGTGTTACGTCTGGGCTTTTCTTACGGCTGACCCTGAAACTGGAATCACTTTCTTCCATGTTGAGTCCTATCTTGGATTGTTGTTTCCACTAGCCTATATTCTTAGTCTCCTTAATTTAAAATATAGCCTTAAAAATAACCTCCTTTAGGAAGCTTTTGGTGAATAATCTTCTTTGTCTAAGCTATCAGTAAAACTATTCCCATTTTTCAATGCATTGTCTCTCCAAAAATAAAAGTGTGCCTTTCCCACTGATTTTTCCCCAAGTAGTATGTATTCATATTGTTCATTTTCTCTCTCCTTCAAGCCAACAAGTCCAAACCGCGGTTGGTTTGTCCCGCCCTTTGGAGCAAACCCCTGGTGGGTGTGCCTTGCAGCTGCTATCCCTGCTTTGCTGGTCACCATTCTGATTTTCATGGACCAGCAAATCACAGCTGTGATTGTCAACAGGAAGGAACATAAACTCAAGGTAAATGTTTGTAATAATGGTTACCATTGCCTTCTACTTTCTTTGAAGTTCTTGAAAAATAAATATTGATTCAAAGCTAAGATGGTTTTATGGGGAGTTCTATTGCAGCCATTGTTCTTTAAGACTTGGCAGAGTCCTGGGATCACCTATTGTTGACACATTATCCTCAATGGAATACTTCAGGAGGATGTCATTTAAATCTGAGAGTTGTTTCACGTTGTATTTCCTTAGCCACCAAAGAGAGCAATGTAAATGTTTTACCGTTCAGCCACTGTCATCCTACATCTGATTTTGATGTGCTGATTATCCTTAATGAAGACAATGACAAATGTTTTTTCTGAAACTACTGAGATCCACAGACACAGACAACAGTGTGCTGGTGACCAGAGGGAAAGGTGGATGGGGAAAGGTAGTGAAGGATAAAGGGAGTCAAATATATGATGACACATGGAGACTTGACTTTGGATAGTAAATACACAGTACAATATGCAAATAATGTGTTGTAGAATTTTGCACTTGAAACCTATAAAATTTTGTTAACCAATGTCACCCCAATAAATTTAATTAAAAGAAACTATTGAAATAAAATACAGATTTTCTACTTTCATTGGTGAATGTGGTGAGTTACATTAATAGGTTTTTCTATTATTGAACCAGTCTTGCAGTCTGTTAGGATATAGTTTCTTTTTATGTATGGTTGGATTTGGTTTGCATGTATTTGGGGGTGCAGGATATTTTTGCATCTCTGTTTAAGAATGACATCGGCCTGCAAGTTTCCTTTCTTTACTGTGTCCCTGTTCAATTTTGGTGTCAGGGTACACTGTCCTTATAAAATCAGCTGGCAAATGTTTCTCCTTCTATTCCTCTTCTATTCCATTCTCTCAAATAGACTGTAATATTCTTTTTATTTTGTGCAACATGCCAATCAATTATCTGCTCTTGGAATGATCAGACATGCTTGTAAAACTACCCAGGGTGTTTCTGTGTAGAACTTGTAAAACTGGTGATCAAAATGTTTTAATGGTTATAAAACACTCAGGATTTCTATTTTTTCTTTAGCACCTCTAAAAGTTTTTTCTATTTCCCCCTATTTTCAAATTTATTAACATGTTTATAATATTATCTTTTGCTACTTTTCTAAATCAGTTTTTCTTTTAAATTTTTAATATTCTTTTTTTAAAGATTTTATTTATTTATCTTTAGAGAGGAAGGGAAGGAGAGAGGGAGAGAAATATCACTGTGTGGTTGCCTCTCGTGAGTCCCTGCTGGGAACTGACCTGCAACCCAGGCATGTGCCCTGACCGGAGATTGAACTGCGATCATGTGCTTTGCAGGCCCGCGCTCAATCCACTGAGCCACACCAGCCAGGGCTAAATTTTTAATATTCTTGACTTGTGCTTTTTACCTTCCTTGTTCAGTCTAGCTTGATTTTTGATAATTATACTACTCTGATTTCAAAGAAGCAATTTTTACTATATTAATTTTCTGTATTACATCTCTGTTTTGGTGTTATTTTCTTTATTTTGAGGCCATGTTATTAAGTACATTCACATTTCTATTTAGTTTATCTTTTTAGTGAATTGAACTTTTTATATGACTTTTTTTCTGTTAATGATGCTGTTTGGCTTATTTTACTTTGTACTTATAAATCTGTGTTAATTTTTAATTTTCATTTTTCCGATATGTATTTTTTTCATTTGTTTTTTTCCCAAGATACTTCGTGTTTTGTGTCTGTTTTTAAATAATGCATAGCTGGGCTTTAAAAAATCTTTTTAAATAAAGTATTTAATTTATTTAAATTGATACTGATGACCAATAGGTTTGAATTTATTTTTACCACATTACATTTGCTTTCTATTTGTCTAAATTTATCTGCGTTCTTTTTAAAAAATTCTCCTCTTTTGCCCTCTTTTAGTAGGTACAGTTTTGTTTTTCTTATTTTCTTTGCTCTCCTTTTAAAAATTATTGTGGAAGTTACATACTTTCTTCTTTTAGCGATTATGTTGCATATTTTAAAAAGGCTATTTAAGTTCTAAAGTTAGTATTTTATATTTCTTCTGAATAATCCTAAGGACTAAAGAATGGTCTAATTTTTATATTTTTTCCTGAATCATAAACTGTTGTTACCCAAATTTTATTGCTATCTGGATTTTAAAATCCCATTAATTAGCCATAGTCAGTATTGTTAAAATTACACACAAGTGTTGCATTTTCTTTGCTCATTTTCTTGTATCTTTTTTTCATGTCAGACCTTTTTGGAATTTTTTTTAGACTTAATTATTTCTTTAAATTTTTTTTAAAATTTATTGATTTGAAGGAGAGAGAGAGAAGCATCACTTGTTGTTCCACTTATTTATGTATTCATTGGTTGATTCTTGTATACTCACTAACCAGAGATCAAACCCCCTACCTTGCAATATTGGGAAGGTCCAACCAGGGCTCTGAATTATTTATTTTAAACAGAATTTATCAGACTTTAGAAATTTACTCCTGTGAGAGTCTTTGAGTGGTACACTTTCTCATTTGTGTTTGTCTAAAAATGTTTTTGTCTTACTCTCATTCTTAACAGGCTGTTTCTCTGGATATATTTTAGGTTGAAAGCTACTTTTTCAGTACTTAGAAGCTATTTTCCATTATTTCTGACTTCCATAAAAAGCAAACTGTCAGTATAATTCCCATTCCTTTGTAAGTAATCGTCCTTTTGGGTGCTTTTATCATTTTTTTGTCTTTATTCTGGAGTTTCACTCTAACCTGCATAAGCATAGATTTCTTTCAATCATATGTTGAGTTATTGGGCTTCCTGAATTCTCCTGTCTGTTACCAATTATGGAATTTTGTAATTGTTTGACTCTTTCAATCACTGCTGCATCCTTCTGGAGTTCCGAGTAGAGTTTCATTGTACACCTCCATATTGCACTCCACTTTTACTTTATTTATTGATTTATTTTTACATTTCTTATTTCTTGGTCTCTGTTCTATTTCCAATATTTTTCAGATCAATTTTTTTTTACTAATTCTTCTGTTGGTTCTGTTCTACTACCAAAGCAGTCCATCAAATTTTTCTTTTCAAGAATTATACATTTTTATATTTAGAAATTTTATTTATTTTTCCCAAATCTTCCTTTTTGGTTTTGTTAGCACCTAACTTCTTTATTATTCTTTTATACTTTTGTATTTATTATTTTGTATATATGTTATATTTTCAGGTTTGATTCTGAACTTTGTTTTCTGGCTGACGCTTACTCCTAGTGTTATTCTTCCTTATGTATTTAGTGCTTTTTAAATTTCTTTACTTTTATTTTTTTATTATGAGCTAATCTTCCTGTGCACCTGCTTCAAAGCCTTCCAGAGATTTTATTTGCTTCTGGGAGGTTTAGGAGAGTCCAACCAATTCAGTAACACTTTGTGTATTCCTATAAAAAATCTTTTATTACAGAAAATATTTTATGGAAATGTGTAAACATGTATATAAGGAGAAAGAATGGTATAACTTCAGATATATATTACCCAACTCTCAAAATTATCAACTCATGTTCAGTTGTACATCATATAAATTCTAATCATCTTTTCTCCTTCCTATAACACTTTGAAGCAAACATAGAGAGCATTTCATATTATCTGTATGTTTTAGAGAGTATTTCTAAAGATATCTTTTAAAACCATGACTGTAATATTATTATCAGTCTGAAAAAAGTTAACAAATTTCTCAATATCATCAATGTTCAATCAGTATTTAAATTTATGATGTACCATAAGTATAATAAGCTTTAAAATATAATTTATTTTTTAAGATCAGGATCCAAGTGAAGTTGAAACACTTTTATGTTAAATCTTTTATAAACTTTTAGTCCACAGATTTTTTTCTCTCTGTTAATGCCTTTCCTCTTTTTTTTGTACTTTTTGAGGTCACCCATGTTGTTTTTCTGCTTATTTTTTGCTGTATAATAAACCACCTGAAAAACATAGCAATGTCAACATAACAATGTCCAAACCTATAGAGAATTTATATGAGTTTATTGGACTTTGAGTCAAAGAGAAGGAATCGAATTACAAGGTAGTTAACTGAGATTCTGTGCTTTCTTAAGGGCCTCTGAGGGATCTGAAAGAGAGGCATTTCTAAGGTGTGTTAAAGTAGGTGCCCAGAAACAATGCACAGGCTTGCCTAAGGCAGAGGTAAGCCTTTTAACTAAAGACTCATATGCCTGGGGCGTGACTACCCATCATGACCAGTTAGGAATTTATGATCAGATCACTCTCCGGGTTACTTTTGGTTAGATTGATTATAGAGCCCATTTTTTTATCTACATGTGACTTAAAACAATATTTTTTTTTATCATTTCTTGGGTTTCTTTGTATTGACAGGACTTGCATGGATACTTCTTGTTTGAGGTCCCTGCTGCAATTACATAATGGATAGGGCTGGTGCCATCTGAAGGCTTGACCGCTTATTGTCCGAGATGGCTTCTTCCCTTCCTCACACGTCTCACATATGTAATACCTCTCTGGAGATTACGGTTTTCTTTTCTTATGGCGTTACTGCTAGAGGAAAGGCCAAAAGAGGCATGTGTTCCCACTGGCTTTCTCTATAGGGTATTTTTTTTTCTAATTAACCAACTTAGTACACTGTGTTTCGAGTATCCTAGTTTTATTTCAAGGGGTGTCTTCCATCTGTGTCTTCTCCCCCATGTCCCTAGGATTGATCTCCAGTCCACAGAGTTCAGAGGGTCATTCTAATCCTCCAGGATTCACATGGTATCTCAGAGCAGGTTTAGACTCCAGGGTTTTCTGACTCGATAGATTTTACTCTTCCTTGTTGCCATTGTTTTTTGTGTCTTGTTGCTTCTCTTACTTTCTATTTGGTAAACCATGATTTGTACAAGATATTTTCTTGAGTTAGTCAAGCATTTCTAGATGTTCTATACTGGGAGGAGTTTCAGCATTAATTTAGTTTGAAACACTGAAAATGGATGTTGACTAATATATTTTAATTTTGACAAAAA